AGAATGTCAAAAGATTTGTAAGGCAAGAATTTCCCTTAGTGAAACCATGTTGACTATCTAATAAAATTCTAAACTTTGATAAATGACTTTGCAAAGCATCTTTTAACAGACTCTCCACAACCTTTCCCACAACTGATGTAAGATAGTATTTGAGAAACACATTTTTATACAGTCTAATCTTAAGTTAAATACTATTTTTAACATATCTAATTGAAATAACATAATATGGAATCATAGTTAATTAAAGGTTAGTCCTTCTTACTTGGTGTATGGCATAAATGAAATGCATTTCACCAATAATTAATTTTGTTTTTAGCAGACTCACCTTTTGTGTGTAAAATAAGTAATAATAATGTTATTCCTGAAGATACATCTTTGTTAAAGAATTAGTGTATGACCATTAACTTAACTCTCAGTAATGCAGATCCATAGCTCTGTAATTCTCAATTATATTTTACAAAAGCTGTGCCTCTTGTAAGGGACCAATGCAGCATTATTTGTTTCCTTCAGATGTGGGCATCTATTAGCAAGTAATCATCTATATCATACTTCAGTTAAGCAATATGTGTTACTAACTAATTATTCACCTTACTACGTAACACACTATACATATGTTAATAACAACTTACTATTTACATTTGATCCAAGGCCTACACCAATTTTATTAGTTAAACTATATTATAACTCAATAATCAATCATATCAAAATAAATGATGTTGAATCTAACCCTGTACAATCTGTTTTATTGGTGATTTGTTCCATGGGAACAATTATTTAAATTATTGTGAACACATGACATCCATGTATGTTGAGCTCTACCATATAAATAGTGAACTGGGGAATTAAAAGTAATGGAAGTAGGGTAGCTGTCATATCTCTTGAACTAAAATAGACCATAGATCTTGAGATTCTGCCACATCTATTGCTTTCCTGGTAAAGAGGAGTTTGAATGGGTTTTCATTTTAATATATCTTTCTTTTTCTGTATTAGGACACATAACTACATTTTCTGAGATTAGTGGCACCATTCTGCATTTTTTGCAGGATGAATATAAGTTTGTACCATCTGATGAATGTGTGAAAATTGCATATATGACCTGTCTTCAATTGCAGTAGCTGTGAGTTCTCTGAAGATTTGATAAACACATGCAGATGAATATGACAGTCTGTTCCTTTGTCTTATCTCAAGGTGAACAATGTCATTGATATCTTTTAGGGTTACATTCGTGGGTTGAGACTTTCCTCTTTCAGACATTGTTAGTTTTTGTCAGCTGTCTCACGTTCTCTATTATTCTGACATGCCATCACCCAATAGACAATGCATTTGTACATTTTTCTTGCCATTTTCGAGCTTTCTGTTGAATTTCTCTAAACAAGGAGTCTTAGGCTACATTAACTGTGAAGATAGCTGCTTGTAAGTCACACATAACAGAATGTGTTATTTACACTAGTTTCAATGTTAAATTGTGTCTGGCAGATAAGATTGAGTGAGCTTTAGGTGAGACTTAGCATGTAAAAATTAGTTGGTCCAGTCTAGGTGAATTTTGTCATGTTGACATTTTTATGCTGACTTATCAAAATAGTCTTGAATAGTCATGTGTGTCAAATAGTTAAAATTAAGAATAATTACTGATCATTGAGTATCTGACCATGCACATATGCAGGGGTGGTTCAACCAAACTCCCTATTTTTGTGATGTACAAAGAAATTATGCTTATATAGTTATAGCACAGCTGTTTATGGTATTTAGCATTTTCTATATAGTTCACATTCGTCTTATGAAGCATTAGCATTTTTTGGCTTGAAATAGTTGCATGCTCCCAGACCCCTATAACATTAGCATGTTTTGCATGTCGATTGTGTTGGCTTTTGAGCTCACAAATTAGACTCTCCCCCTTTCAAACATTCTGCATATAGGCCTGCTGACACATGTGAATCATATTGTAAAAGCTTTATTATGTTCTTGCCAAATATGGAGGGCAAATAAAGAATTCAAGAGAAACAATACCAAACATGCAATCCATTCTTTCTCTATATATATTGTACTGCAACATTGATTATGCTTATTAAACTCCATGACTGTAGAACTTGTAGTACGAATGAAGAAAATGAAAATATTCCATCTCTTACCACTCTTAAGTTTGTCATCACTTTCATCCAAATAAGTTGCCATGTTCCAGAAGTCTCCATCAAGTGGCATTAGTGAATACCTGGATAGAATATTGCCGGACTAGAAGAGAGTTTGATCATGTGTTTCATGCTATTTATGCAAGCAAGGAGCACCCCTTTCCACATTATTGAAAATCTCTATATGTAGAATTTATATCACAAGTTACATTCAGTTTGCAAACTTTCTAGTCCTAAGCAACTACTATGAAACCTTCTTAACATTGAGGGTACATACTTCAATCAGAAGATCAATGTTCTAATCAAAGAAATTATTCATGTCATTATAGTATTTGATGGCTGGAGTAATATTCACAATATAGGAGTAGGCAGATTTTGTTAAACAAGACCGATGTCTGTAGGCTTACTTTCTTCTTAGAATTCTTCTCAAGAAGTCGATAAGCCGTCTGAACGTTGTTAGAACAACGGGTAAAAGTTGTAGATAGTGATGAGTTGGCCGACGCATCAAGGCTGAATGTTGTGTGAATTGTGATTACTGTTGGTGGATATTTATAGGTATGGGTAAGCAGGTGGTGGTATCTAGCTCGTGGAAGGCGTTAATTAGTGGAGTGTTGTACTGTGGCTTGGGGGTTTCTCGCCAAGAAGTAGCAGTGTGCGTGCTGTTCCTGTCGATTGTTTGTTGATTATGGGAGTTTGCTGTAGGATTTTTATTGCTTCGTGTATTTGTTTGAAGAGTTGTGAAGTCGTTAAATCGGCGTTAAACCATCCACCGTACATACAAAATATCCTCAGATTGGAATCTATTTCGCAACAGAATTCGTACACTACAACAAACATTTGTCAATAATGGATATAGTAATACCACATTCAACAAGACACTTAAACGATACCTGGACAGCCGCCAAAAAAACAACACTACCGACAACTCCACTGAACAACTCAAAGTCTACTATAAAAGCCAATTCTCCACTGCATACAAGGCAGACGAACG